GAGAGGGTAAGAGGGGGGATGACCGTGGGTAAGAGAGAGAGAGAGCGTGGGTTGACTTGGTGAGTGAGAGCAAGGAGAGAGAGAGATAAAGGAAAGACAGGGAATGAGTGAGAGAGAATGAGTGAGCGGGGAGTGGTGGGTAGAGAGAGAGGGAAGGGGTAAGTAGAAGGAGAGCAGAGCGTGAAATATTTCGTGAAATCTTTCATTTTAAAAGAGGTCGGCGGGGGGGGGGCACATAAAGCAAAGCATTGAAAAAAAACCCCGAAATGATGAACGAAGCAAAGTGCCGACTACACCGAGCATCTTCTTGTCTCCTCTGATCTTAAAAAAGAAGAGAGAGATAAAGGGAAGAGCGAGTTGGTGAGTGTCGTGGGTTCTGGGTGGAAACGCCGTTTCCTGTGCGGGGAATCGTAACATCCCGGCAGGCAACAGACGTGGTGGCAACGACGAAGCGACTTGATGAAGGCGGTGAGATACATTACACAACATCTCGTTTACTAGCTGGGCGTTGCGGCGGGGTGTAGAGAATCTCACTCTTGCTGTACAACAACAACAAAAACAAACAACAACAATAACAGCGTGCGCGGTACTGCACGATTCGAATGCGGAAACGCCGTTGCTGCTCGCAATTGGCGAATCTGCCGCTTGCGGTGTTGACCGACCCTGGGTTTGAGTGCGTACGACGTCGCCCGCCATCGGTTTAACACGTGGACTTCCGCGATAATACCAATATTATCCACAATATTATCAATAACTGTTGGGATTAACGCTTACACGCGATCGAACACCCCTAAAGAAAAAGAAACGCCTCTGGGTGACATCTCCGTGGTGAGTTGATGCACAGGCGTCCCGCGGAGACGGGCCATGATGGGCAAGCGTGTTGTTGTTGTTGTGTGTGGTGTGTACACTTGATATTTACAGATACACACACTCGTGTAAACGCCTGCAGAATTGTGCGCTTGCTATTGTAAATGTACCCATACCGCGTCAACACATACGGTTGTAGCCCCGTAATCTTGTACGGGAGAAATTAAGAGTTTTTTTTTCAGGTCCATACGGGCACTTTTTTGTCAATTTGTTTGCGTTTCTCCCCTTTTGTGATGTGGGATTTTGTAGGATAAACGTTGATATTTATAAGGCCACGGGGGTGACGAATAAGGTCTGAATTGGTCTGTAATAAGTGTGGGGCACTGATAATGGGTTGACAGGTATATACACGTGTGTGTGTGTGCTTGTAAACGTATCCTGCTGATGATACGTCCTTACGACAGACAGTAGTGTTACTGGTAGCAACCTCCTGGTTACACCACCAGCCCACAGGGGATTCTTGTGTCCGTCCGTCCGTCGTGCATCCAAAAATGGGAGGGGCTGGGTGGGGAGGGTGGGGAGGGGCTGGGTGGGGAGGGAGGGGCTGGGTGGGGAGGGAGGGGCTGGGTGGGGGGTGGGAGGGGTGGGGCTGGGTGGGGAGGGGCTGGTCACCCCGTGGTGCCCTTATAAAACTCAACGTTTAACCTACTCACGCCGGCTTGTGCCCGCCCTCACAGTCGGGCATATTTGCGGAATGCACCACGTGGTGCCGTTGACCCTGGCCATTGACCGAGCAACCCAACGTTCCTACCAGCTCCCTTCGCAGGAATGTGTTTGTGTAAGTGTGTGTTTACTGCATGCGGCGGTTTGTGTGTAGGTCAATGAGACGCAACAACCCCGCCAGAGGTGAGTTACACACCCGTGTTATTGTGTACTTGCCAATGCAACTGTGTACTCAGTAATGTCATTGTGTTATAGCACTTACCATTGTGTATACTTCCTACAGGATATGTAACTCGGTGTTTGTGTCTGTCACTTTGAACTGCATACACGCCACCTAATGTGAGTACACGCGTGTAATTGTGTGTTTTAATACTGTAATTGTATACAGTTCTTACCAATGGCTGTACGTACTGCAAGTAGTGTGTGTGTGATGTATATGTTATGGTGGTTTGTGTGTCTGTAGGAAGAACTGTTTACACACTTGTGTAATTGTGTACTTACTGTGCATATTCTGAACGTACAGTATGCACATTAGCCTGCAGTTATGGTGGCGGTAATTTCTTATTGACTTACACAGTACTACCTTCATAATGCTACAATGTAATTGTGTACTGCACTTGCTAACCTGTGCTGTATTGCTGTTGTAATTCGCTGAACCGCCCTTACTGGACATCTGTAAATAAAGAGCTTCATAGCTCATCGGATTTCTCCAGTCTGAATACAGATTCTGATAACACTGTAACACAATTTTTGTTCCTGGGTAGTAAGTGTTATTTCATAATTGGTTATGCCTAAAAGGTATAGAAAATTGCTATTATTCCCCACAAACTTTGCTTTTGTGACCAGGACAGTGGTATTTTGAAATTTACCTATTTTCAATGAGAAAACGGGCAAATTTGTGTATTTTCGTTCACATACAGTCAGAAAAAAACAACATATGAATCAAAATTAACATTAGTTATACTAAAGT